GACCGACGCAACGGACGGCTTTCGGCTGGCAAGCGAGCGTCAAGCTGTGCAGCCGGCTCATAAAGTCGCCACTGAAAGCGCCGGTGGGTTGCAGCAAGCTCTGCATCGCCAAGGTTGCCAAGCATCGGCGTCAGCGCTCGCCGGGACCGGGCATTGTTCACCGCGCCCAGTCGTGTAAGATCACCTGTGCCTAGCAGGGTGGACTCGGAACCTTGGAATCGAAAACTCATACTCCGCCTTCGAGCAAATGGTACTCTGCTGCGGATGACGACACAAAAGCCTCTCGCTCGCATCAGACTTGGCACACATCGCAACACGTTGAGACTGCTGACATAACTTTCGCCACCAGCATCATTTCAATGTTATCGTCTACACTGAGCCTTGAGAGGCATGGTTGAGCTTGTCGAGCTTTGGCTTAGACGGACCCTGCTTTGCGGAGGGGATTCTTGACGTTGGGATGATTGACTTCGGGCACGGGGACCTTGGGCACGGGCAGGGGTAGACTGTGTGGGGGAGCAGCGACGATGATCGGATCGAACGCCGGAGGGGGTTGCGGTAGACGCACGGAGGTCGTGGGCGGTTTGGGATGGAACTGCTCGAGCAGGCGACGGAATCGGTCGACAGCAGAGCGAGACGCGCGCACTACCTCGGCCGCCTCGTCACTATCAACACCCCTAACTCCAATAACCAAGACCAGCACCAGCACCAAGAGGGAGCACACTTTCACCATCGTACAAAGATCGTGTGCGTGGTGGTTGAGAAGCAAGTTACGAACGCAACCGCAAGTGAAGAAAAGCACCAAGGGAGGCGAGCGGAAAGGGGTCAAAGGGGGAGAAGGTCAATTTGATCCATCGACGGCCGCTGCCCAATCGACACCGGCGTGGCGTGGGAACTCACGCGGCACGACCGGCAACCACTCTGATCTCACAAGAACACCTGCACGTTCCCACACTTGGCACGTTGTACGCAGTTTCATTGCTTCTACTCGAGCGCCATGCTATCCTCGACGTCGGCAGTGTCGTGTCCGGCAGCGATGCGCGCCAGTTCCACCGCAAGGCGGGGCAGATCCGAGTCGTCCAAGAATGCCGCTACTGTCGCCTGCTCCTTCTGTCGATCGTGCCAGATGGCGTCAACCTCCACATCGCCCTTATCTGCCATCCTAGCCGCCACGAGCGCCTTGGCATCTTGGCCGTCGCCCACCAGCTCGTGCACGGCCAGATATGCCGACCGGTTCGCATCGTCCGCGAGCACCTCGCCCAGCACCGTATACAGCGCCGTAGCCTGCAGGTCGGCAAGCACGGTCTGGTCCGAAACATTGGTGGTCTCGGACAGCGCGAACCAGTCGTCGCGCACCACCGCGCGGCGCCACACGGCCTTGAGCGCCTCACGCAGCCGAGGCTCGGGTGCATCCTTGGCGCGAACCAGAACCTTGAGCGCCGTGGCAAAGTCCTCGAGCTGGTTCTCGGGCGTGTCCTTGAGCGTCAAGACATCCACCAGATCCTCGGATCCCAGGTAGCGGTTCTCGAACAACAGCCTTTGCACCAGCTCCACATAGTGCTCCCGGTACCCGGGGTACTCTCGCAGCCTCGTTGCAACGGCCTCGACGATCTCGGTCGCGAGCTCACGTGCCTGCGCACTGCCCGCCGCGGGCAGATCGGCGGGAAGCCCACCCAGCGCATTCTCCCACAACGTCGCCAGACTGTCCTGCACGGCGATGAGGTCGAGCTGGTCGTCGAAGAACTCGATCTGCTTTTGCGTGCCCACCGTCTGCAGGTCCTGCAGCGTCAGCGTCGAGAGCACGCCGAGCTTGCCCAGGCTCATCATGAGCTTCCTCTGCGCAAGCACGCCCTCACCCAGCGCGAGACGCTCGAGCGTGTGTGCTGCCTCGCCGTATCGCTGCAGCGCAAGGTCGTGCAGCCACGCGATGCGCTCGTGCCCGGGCTGCGCGAGGAAGTCGAGCACCAGCTGCGAGTGCTCGCTCTTCTGCTCGAGCAGCACGCGCGGCTGGCCGTGCTCGAGGTAGTATGCATACAGCTCGAAGGCAAACGGCTGCTTGTAGCGCTCGAGGTACGAGTCGAGGCGCGCGGGCGAGCGCAGCTGCGCCTCGTTGCACAGCTCCACCAGCGTGCGGAAGTCCTCGTACTGCTCGGCGAGCGCAAATGCCCGGTCCGACCGGCCAATCCCCACCAGCGGTCGGATGAACATCGGCCGCGCAGAGCGCAGCGTAGCGCCAAACACGCTCAGCTCTCGCTCGTACGCCGCATCGGCCGCCGCCGCCGCCTGCAGATACCGAAGCCGCTCCTCGTAGCACGCCATGGCGACGTCGGCGAGCGTACACAGCTGCGCTTTGAGCTCGGCCTGCACGCGCTGCTCGCGCTTCACCTCGTCGCCCGCGCCAGAGTACTCGGTGGGCGCCACATCGATGCTCGAGCCCAGCTCGCGCGTGCGGTCCGGGATGAGGTTGACGCTGATCGAATAGAGCGTCTCGAGCAGCTGCACGCTGCCGCTCTGGGCGGTCCACGCTTCGAAAGCCGCGTCCTTGTTGGCGTCGATGCCGTACAGTCGGCCGTGCTCCTTGCGGTATCGCAGAGAGGCGCGGAACGCCGCAAGCACAGTGCGGTTGAGCTCGAGCACGTCGGTTGAGCGCGTGCGCAGCGGCTGAGCCGACACCGTGTTGGCCTGGCGCAGCAGCCGGTCCAGCACGCGCGGGCTCAGGTCTGCATGGTGGCGGAAGAAGCGGCGCACCACATCGTCGCTGCCGACGCCGAGCCCCTGCTCGGCCATGACCGTCTCGATCGCGCGGGCAAGCGGGCTCTGTGCCGCCGAAGCCTGCGCGTGCGAGGCCGAGTAGAACTCGTTCTGGTAGACCCACAGCTCTGCGAGCGCCGCAGCCAGCTCGGCGTCCGCGCGCAGCTGACGCTTGGTCGTCTGCGGTAGCTTCTCCAGATGGCCGCACCGCGCCACAAATTCCACCAGGAAGCGCAGCTTGCCAAGACGGTCCTTGAGCGCCGCACGCAGGTCGACGGGCGGCGGCACGCTCTGCGCAATGGGGTTGGAGAACGTGAGCAGCTCGCGGCTGAGGTCCTGACACGCGGTCATGAGCGTGCCCTGAAGATGCTCGGGCAGGCGGAAGGTGAGAGGGTTGAGCGGCGACTCGGAATAGTAGAGTGCCTGCTCCAGCTTGCCCTTGAGACGCTCTGTGTCTGCACGCTGACGGTCCGCCGCGGTTGCCGATGCTGTGCAGCGCTTGCGGATCGCGTCGATGCTCGTCTCGACCAGCAGCGATCCCGACGCGGCCGAGATGAGCGAGAGTGCAGCCACGGCATTGTTGGCGCTGACATGGACCGCGTCGCAGCCCGAGCCGATGAACCTGTTCTTGACGTCGTCCTTGAGCTTGATGAGTTCCTCGAACGACTCGCATCCGTCCTCGAGCTGCTTGGCCACGACGGCATCCGCGAACGTGATGAACGCAGCAGGCCCACCGTTGGGCAGGCTGAGCGAGGGTGTTGCGTACGGCCGAGGGTCCGCATAGCTCGTGTACTTGATGGGCTGGATGGACGCGACGACAAACGACGCCGCGTCTTTGACAACGTCGAGCGTGGCAAGGCCGTACTGCAGCGGCTCGTGCTCGGTCTTGGACTGGGAGAAGAGCAGCACGAGTTTTCCGTCGGCCTGGACGGCGCCGTCGAGGAGATCGAACGCCAGACTCTGTGCCGCGCTGTACCGCTCGTCGTTGAGCTGGAGCACGCTGCTGGCGACGACCTGCTGCACGTCCTGCTCGGCGAGCAGGCGTTCGCCACCCTGGTCGAGCACGTGCCACTTTTGCAGCGTCTTGCGGCCGATCGCATACACCTCGCGGCCCTGCTTGGATGCCTGAGCGGGCGCTACGGCGATGCCCTGGATGTGGTCGTTGGCCGAGCCCATGGCGGAGCTCGAGCCAAAGATGCGACCGAGCAGACCGCGCGGTTGGGAGAATGGCCTCACCTCGGCCTGGAGGATGCCCGCTCTGCTGCCGACCGAGACGCGGAGCAGGCGCGACGCACTCGTGGCGAGCACGACGGTCGACTCGTCGATGCGCTGCAGCTTGACGATCGCCTCGCCCGACGAGAGCGGTGCGGCGATGCGCTGTGCGCGATCCTGGCGTGTGAGCGACGACGAAATGCCTTCCCACAGGCACGTTTGACCGTCGGGCGTGACGAGCAGCAGAGCGGGTTCTCGCTCTGCTCCGCCGCGCGGCAGGAAGCATGCGTGCGACAGGTCGTTGATCGCCGACATGCTTGAGGAAGCGTACTGAGGCACGGGGAAGACAAAGCAGGTGGGCGAGCCGGTGCCGATGCCGCGGCTGGCGTAGTTCCACACGAAGCACTGGGTGCGCGAAAGCAGGCAAGCATATCCGGTGTGGACGTCGAGGTGGCCTTGGAAAGCATCGATGTACATATCCGCCTCGGCCAGCAGTTCGAGCACCTCGGTGGGCAAGCGCGAGTAGGCCGAAACGTGGAGCCACTGGTCGCCGAGGAGCACGGTGCCCTCGTCGAGCTGCGTCTTTGCATCCTTTGGTGCGGGCGCAGAGCGACGATTGTAGCCGGCGTGAGAAGCAGAGTGGACGGTGTCCGCAACCGACCGCATGTCTGCGTCTTCGCTGATCACGGAACCCTCTCGGTCGAACGCGTCGCTGGGGCTGAGCAGCGAGGCGCTAGGACCTGCGCTGGCGGCGAGCATCGACGATGGGCGTGGGCGTGCGCGCGATGTGCGCGTCCTTGCGCCATTGAGGAAGAGCGAGGTTGCTGAGACGTCGCCGGCGTCGTTTTGCGTGTTGTCGTCGCGGCGGAAGGTGGATGGGGACAGAAACGAAGGCGGGGAGATGGGATCATGCGATCCAAACACCGGTGTACCTGCGCGCGAGGGTCGATTGCCCGAGCGTGCGGCGCCTGCTAGCGGCGTCGACGAGCGCGCATCCCTCGCTCGAGACGGTGTTGTGAACATGGCCGCAGGTGTGGAAGCGAATGCGGGTGCTGATGGTGGAGAGGCGGCAAGCAAGGCTGCTGGAAATTCTTCGCGACGACGACCAACACCAAAATCGCGTTTCGCTGCCTCGTGCACCGTCCTTGCCTCTCGAAAAATCGGCGATCCGACGATCAGTTCGTCAAAATTATGGTAACATGTTAGAGCACGTTCGCACCTGAGCATGCACTAGCCCACAGGACTCGTGCTTCTGATCGTAGAACGAGGCGCGATCTCGACCTGCGCAGCGTGATTCAACCACACACAGGCTTTCGAGCATCCACGCGCGCGAGTACCACGCCTGCCAAAAGAAGAACTTGAGCACCGGACCTCAACATGAAACAATGTGCGACTAACAAACATGCGAAGAACGAAACAAGACAAACAAGTGCTAAGGAAAGCGAGTACAGCGGGGAAGTGAGACGACAACAATGCGAGGGATCGTGCGGGAGAAGAAGAGAGAATCGATTGATCACGTTTCGGGCTCGGAGCTGTCGGGCGCGTCGCCGCTCTCAACGTCCATGGCTTCGTGAATCGAGCGCATCATGTCGACGTCGCCCGTGCTGGAGGCGTCCTCGTGGCTCCAGGGGAACGGATTGGCCGCGCCGCTCATCTCGGAATCGTCAGACGCCGGTGCCTTTACCCGGCCTCTTTCCGCGTCCCTCCCTCTCGCGGCGGCGAGCGCACCTGCCGGCACAGCACCCCCGGGCCTCCAGATGCGCACCGTATGGTCGTCGCCGCAGCTCGCAATGGTGAGCGCGTCTCTGGGATGCCATGCGACGCCATTGACCGGACCCTTGGCGTGCCCGCTCAACGTCTCGATGAGCCGGCCCGTGGCGCGGTGCCAGATGTAGATCTTGGCGTCCTCGCTGCCAGACACGACAAAGTTCTCGTCGATGCCTCCGAAGCCGCAAAAGATGACGTTCTTGCTGAGCTGGTGGCCGTTGAACCTGCGCACCAGGCACTGCCGGTTGATGTCCCACATCTGCAGCTCGCTCGGACGCACGTTGACCAGCACGTACTGCGAGTCGCGGCTCACCGCCAGACTCACGACCTCCTCGCGCAGGTAGATCGAGCCTAGCTCGTCGCGTGTGCGCAGGTTGATAAAGTGGATGCGGTTCTTCTCCGAGCCCATCGTCCTCGAGCCGCCGCCCAGGTCGGCGTGCGGATCGTGGCCCAGCCCCGTCGACGTGGTCGTGTGCGTCGATGTGGACGACGAGCTGTCGCTGAGATGATCCGAGGCTGTCGAGGCGCTCAACGCCGTCGTCGACACACCCACATGGCCGCGCCCGACCGACGTGGGAATCGTCGATGGCGCCACTTGGCGCTGGCTGAGTGCGATGAGATGCGCGCCGTCCGGTGACGCTGCCACGGCGAGCACGCGGAAGGGTGAGGTGGTCTTCTTGTGCAAGACGTATCCATCGGCATCCCAATAGACAATCTTTCCATCCATGCCGCCCGTGACAAAGCCCGAGCCGTCCGGAAGCCAGGCGGCGGTGGCGACCGTGTAGTTGTGTTCGCGCAGCGTGAGCATAGTACCCGTCTGGATGCGGCACAGCGTGACGTCGACCTCGGAGGTGGCGAGCAGCTGCTTGTCATCCGGCGACCACGACACGGACGAGATGCTGTCCGAGAGCGGCACAAACTTCTGCAGCAGCTTGTAGTCGTCGGTGACGCTCCAGATGAGCATCGTCTTGTCCGCGCCTGCGGTGGCGAGCTTGGTGCCGTCGTGTGAGAATGCCAGACACCACACCTCGTCGTGGTGGTCGGTGATCGTGTGTGCTACGCGCGAGGGGAACACGGAGCGGTCGGATCGGTGGTCTGTGAGCAGAGAGAATGGCGCGCCGTGCGGCTGGTTGTAGAAAGGATCTTGGTGCTTCTGGTAGCTCTGCGCTTGCTCGAGCAGCTGGGGCAGCCGACGACTGGGCAGCATGACGAGCGGCGACACGGCCGCCTCGATGTCCATCATGAGCTGCCTGCGCGACTCGCCGTTGGCGCCGTCCCATTGGGCGCGCTCACGCAGCTGCTCGGGCGAGGCGGTGACGACGAGACTGGAGAGCAGGTGGAGCTGCGAGGTATCGTTACTGAGCGGCGTGAGCTTCTCGCGCAGCACGTTGAGCGCCTTCTTGGTGTGGCGTGCCTCGAGCAGTTCGAGGTAGCGTTGCTTCTGCAGCATGAATCGGATGGAGCGGAGGCTGACCACATCGGGTCGGCGCAGGACCGAGTCGATGAGGTCCTGGCTGTGAGCGTCGGACGACGGGGCGGTGGACGAGGACGGCTGAGGCTCGAGTGCGATGCTAGCGCCTCCGGGCGGAGAGCGCGCAGCCTGGATGCGTCTTGCGGCATAGGTGAGACCGTCGATGAGCAGGCGCTCCGCATTTCTCCAATCGCCACTCAGCACAGCCGTGCGAAAGGCGGTGATGGAGGGGTGCTCGAGCGCAATGCCGGACTCGGCCTCGAGCGCCTTTGCGGCCTGATCGTAGCCCATCTCGCGCAGCGACTGCAATGTGAGCTTGACGAGCTCCCTGCGGTCGATGGGGCTGCCCACAAAAAGCGGAGTGAAGACGGCAGCATCTGCATAATCGTCTACGGGCGCAGCTGGTGGCCGGGTGGAGCGATGTCCGTTGCTGGACGAGCTGCCCGATTCCGAGTACGAGGCCGCATGTTCGGCGGCACCCCCTGCCCTTCCGTTGGAGGTGCTGCCGTTGGAGGCCATGGCGGCGTTGTTGGTCATGGCCGCGATGGGATGCTGATCGGCACGAGGGGCGGCGGGTTGCAAGGAACGGTATGACGCGGAAGATGAAGCGCCGTTCGCCGCGGAAGAGTGGGTGGCAGACAAGCCCAGCCTGGCCCTTTTGGGCAAACGGGCCTCGGAGGGACTTGTGGATCGCGAAGGTTGGCGCGGCGTGCTGGAGAGCGGGTGCTGGCTATGCCTGCCAAGAGGATGATCGGCGCTCTTGCTTTCTATCGATACCTAGGTATGCAAATGGCCGACTGCGGGGTTACGATTCGCAAGTCCGTGTGCCAAGAAAGATGAGCTGATGGACGTTGTGCGTCTCTGATCCTGCCGAAGCCCTGGCGAAGCCCTCCGACGTTCCGATCAGGGTATGAATGAGGTGCGGGAGGTGGTCGTGCGTGATAAGGCGGTTGAATAGCAGCTCCTGCTGTTCGTTGAGCGGCTCAGTCACAGTGACAGCGTATATGCGCTGTGCTGCGCACGCGCCAGTTCAACCCGAGCCAGACAGCCCAGCCGCCTTGAGCCCTGAGCCTTGAGCCCAGCCAGTCAGTCGACCCGTTCGACCGTCTGAAGCGACCGCGACCCAGACCCTGACCCTGTCGCTGCTGACGCTCAACTGCTGCTGCTCTGAGCCTGAGCCGCTCTTTTTGTGAAATTTGGCCCCAGTTGGCGCGATTCAGCTGCAGGGCTCCGCAACTCTGTACAGGCCAAAGTGGAGGTTTTTCTCAAGACCCTGCGCGCGTCTCGCCCGACTGAAACCTCCCCGCCTTTCCAGCCGAAGCCTCACAACCCGCTCGCAAGCTAGGGCAACCACACACCGTCCATGGCATCAAGAGAACCATCATGATGAATAGAAAACAACAAATAGATACAATCAGCCCTGCGTAGGACTGCGCAGATGACCACCGCTACTGAACCGCTACTTAGCCGCTACTTCTCGCCGCGCGTGACAAAATTCTTGGCAAAGCGCAGCATGGCTCGGAAGTCTGGCATCTCGGGCCCGCCTCCCTTGGCTGCAAACGCACCGTTGCGCCCCGCCGCGCCCGTCCTGCTTTCGACACTGCGCAGCGGCAGCCGCTGGTTTGACGCGGCGTGCGTCACCAGCACATGCGCCAGCCAGTACAGCGGTAGCGCATCGTCCGACAGCGGCGTCGCCCCGGACGCTGTCAGTGGCGTGAAGAGCGTCGGTTGCAGCTCCGCCGGCCACGCCCGCTTGTTGGTCGGCGATCCAGAGTGCGTGCTGAGGCTGTCGTCGCTCATGTCGCTCGCCGCACCGCTCGTCTGGGCCGTCTGTCCCGCCTGCCCTGCCTTCTTGACCGAGGCGAGCTTGCAGGTGCCGTCGCCATCCCATGCCTTGCGCCAGCGAGACAGCGCGCGCTTGTACAGCGCCACCTGCCCGTCCACCGTCGAGCCGGTCCCGCGAATCGCCAGGCCCTGCTTGAGCCACTTGCTCAACGACGACGGCCGCGGCACCCTGGTCGTTCGGCCTTCGAGCATCTCGATGATGCCGCGCAGCAGCGCCAACACCATCACCAGCCGCGCAAACGGCCCGTGCTCGCCATAGATCGACGGCTCCTCGGCGACGCCCGGCGGCGACATCGAATCCGTCTCGCCTGCCACGAGCAGCTGATGCAGCGCCTCGTTCAGCGTCGGCGCACGATACTGCTCGAGCGCCTTGCTCCACACCGTCGACGTCGGCGCACGCCACAGCGCATCCGGACTCGGCAGCGGCAGATGCGCCACCTCCTTGGTCGACAGCAACGTCGGCACCGCCGCATCCAGGTGCGCCACCGTGTCCATCGTGTACACCACAAACGCGCTTCTCCGCCGACCCTCGAGCTCCGCCCAGCGTCGCCACACCTTGTCGCCCTCGTCGTCTTCGGCGCCATACGACGGCATATACGAGTATGAGAAGCACGTGTCGAGCGTCTCGAGCATCACCTGCTGCGTCACGTCGTCCGCCGAGATCGCCACGTTGCGCTGCGCGTGGTCGGCCTCCGGGTCAAAGAAGCCCGCCTGGCGCGCCAACGTCACCACCGTGCCGTGCGAGATGCCCGCCACCATGCGCGTCGTCGCATCGCTGCTGAGGAAGTTGTTGCTCTGGAAGAGCATCAGCGCCTGCACCACCGAGCACTTGTCCTTGACGCTCTTGCACCGGCTTGCAAACGTGCGCATCAACATGTCCGTCTTTTCGCTCATCACAATCGGCTTGACCAGCTCCTGCCCGTCCTCCTCGTCCACGTACTGGCTCGGATACTTGTCCGCGATGATGCGATGCACCTCGTCCATCGGCTCGTGTGCTCCGTCGTTGCTGTTGATCAGGTTCACCGCCGACTTGGGCACCACCTCCTCGCCACCCCACCACTTGCGCCCCGCCTCGTGCCCGCCGAGCATGCAGATGGCAAAAGCCAGGCAGCCCGGCTGCGTGTCCATGCGGAACGTCGGTTCGTGAATCACGGGGAAGTGCTTGAGCAGATTCTGCTGCGCATGCAGCGCCAGCATGCTCAGCCGCGTGATGGGCGGTAGATTCCAGTGCAGCACCGAGTAGCAAGGTCGGAACATGTCGGGCGGGATGAAGAACGGATTCTTGACATCCGTCAGCGCTTTCTCGAGCGGCGTCGACATCGGCGCCAACTCGAGGCTCGCCGCCGCAAGATCAATCGCGCCGTCCACGTCCATCGCCGTCGCCGATGGGGCAGCGATGCTCTTCGAGTTAAAGTAGTCCGACGTGTTGGTGAGATCCACCGCGCCAGAGCCTGCCGTGGTGGTGCCGAGCGCATTGAGCAGGTGCTGGATGCTGGGACTCATGAGCCAGCCGAGCGCGCTCATCTGGACACCCGGCGTGCCGCTGTTGGCGGCGGCCGCAGCGACGCCGCCAGCGCTGGGGTTCGAGAACATCGAATGGTCCCAGTTGGGCGTGGAAAACTGCGAGTTGCCCAGCGCGGCCGAGCTGAATGCCGTCGTGGGGCCGTTGAAAAAGGAGATTTCACTTCCATGGATCCCGGCTCTCAACTCCTGGGCGCCGCCCTGAAGCCTCAAAAGGAAGGCTTCGGGACCTGGCGTGAGAGCCCCTCCATCAAAATATTGCTGCGACTCGTTCTTTACGAAGCGACTGGGCGTGTCGATGCCGCTGCCAGTGCCAATGGACACGGGCGCCGACGTCGTGATGCCGCCGCCGCCGCCGCCGCCGCCGCTCGAAGAGGCCGAAGCCGGCACCACTGCCGACGAGGCAGACGTCGGTGGTGCTGATGTGGTCGCTGCTGTTGCAGCCGCTGACGTCGATGCCGAAGTAGCCGCAGCCGAGGAAGTCGGCGCCGATGCAGCCCCGGCCGCCGACGTTGTCGACGACGTGGACTTTGCATCGCCCGTATCACCTGCATCGGTCTTGTCGGAGGAGCCGCTGAGCTTCTCGCTGGACGAGCTCTTGCCAAGCCTGGCGGAAGCGGAGATGCCGTCCGACTGGGGCGAGGTGCTCTGACTGCCCGAGATGTTGATACCTTGGAGGCTGTTGTGCCGGCTGACGGTACGCGAAGGTGGGCGCATGCCTGTCCACTGACCGCCGAGGTCGATCGAGGCGAGCCCGCCTCCGGGCGTAGTTGGCAAAGCCGAGCGCGGACTCGAGACGAGGGGCGTGTCGCGCGCGTTGGAAAAGGCAGACAGGTACGGCGACATGGACGAGTTGAGCGCCGTGTTGGAGAAGGGGGAGAGCGGGCCGAGCGTGGAGACAGAGAAGCGCACGGGCTCCTTGGGCGTGGTGGCGCCCGAGGCCTCGGTCGCTTGTGTCGTTCCGCTTGCCGCGGTGGCTGCCGAGCCAGACTGGTTCGACGACGATGCGCCCGTGTCCGCCGATGATGCCGAGGTGCCAAAGGAAAAGGCGGGGCTGTTGGCGTTGTTAGACGCGTAGCCACCGAGATTGGACGAAGAGGCGGCACCGACGCCGCCCGAGAGACCCGGAGCGGTGGAGCGGAAGTAGCTTGCATCGGAGCCGAGATGGGAGGCGGTGCGGGAGCGGTCGCCGAGATGACTCAAGGGCGAGGTGGCGGGGAAGCCGAGCGATGCGAGCATGCTGGCGGTGGCGCGGGCGGCGGAACCGGGCGTGGTGACGTGACCTGGGGATGGGAGCTTGGCGGTGTCGAGGCCCTCCCATATGGCAGCATCGGCGGCACTGGCGAAGGAGGAGGCGGGGCGGGCGGCGTACTGGTCGTAGGCGGACTGGCGCATGTAGCGCGAGCCCGAGTTGCTTCCATGGCGGGCCAGAGGCTGGCCAAAGCGGGGGCTTCCGTGCTCGCTTCTCGGCGCGTTCGACTCGGGGCTGGAGGGCTGGTAGAGCTGCGGGTGGAGGGCAGCGACGGCCGAGTGAACGGGGAGCGGGAAGGGAGTCGAAGCGTACGGGTTAAGTGCTCCCCTCCCCATATGAAAATCCGGGGGGTCCATGGAGTTGGCGTACTGATACGCGGCCACGGAGCTGATGGCAGCTACGGTGGTGGCGGCAGCAGCGGCCTGCGCCTGGGAGTCGGCAGCGATGGCAGGGTCAATCATGGCCGAGGCATCCTCATCGTGGCCCTGCGCACCTGCGGGCGGATGGCCCGCAGCAGCAGCTGCGGCTGCAGCAGCGGCTGCCACGGCGATGGCATCGTGGGTGAGCTGGTCCGAGTGATGCGGTGCGGGCGGTGGTGGAGCGGGACCGTCCAGGCCATCCGAGTGGGACATGCTCGAGGAGGCTGCATGTCCGTTACCGTCGGCACCGTCGGCCGCGCCGTTGGTGCTGCTGGCAGCAGCGGCTGCAGCCTTTGCAGCTTTTGTGGAGCCCTTTGGACGGCCGGGTTTGGCGGTGGAGGAAGAGCGACGGGGCTTGGTGGTCTTGGGTGGAGAGTCGCCTTCGGCGGGTTTTTCGCCGTCGCCACTGCCGTCTTGCTGTAGGACGACGCGGCACTGACGCTTGTGACGAGAGAGAACGTCACTGGACACGCGGAAGATGCAGGAAAGGAGCGAAAGCCCGAGTCAGATACTGTTCGATCCGACAATTGCAAGGAAAAGAGCAAATGAGACCAAGATGCATACCTTCGGGAGAAGCCCTTGCCACAATCGCATACAAATGGACGGATGTCGGCGTCTGTAGGGTCACAGCAGTAACAGGTCGAGTAGAGAGATGGAGGAAAGAAAGAAAAGGGGATGGAAACAAGAGGACGGCACCAGAATGCTCAGCGAAAGGCAAGTTCTATGCGGCTGGCAGCGAGGTATACTCACGTCTCCTCTCGTGACGCCTGAGGTATTCGAGTCGCGAGTAGCTGGTGGCGCAGGTGGGGCAGATAAAGGGGGGACCGTTGGGCACGGGGCCACCCGAGTTGTCGGCGTGGTCAGCGTCGGCGTCGTCCTTGATGTCGTCGTTGTCGTCGTTGGAGGCGATCGAGTCGCGCTTCTGTATTTTGCGCGCCGGGCCGGAGGGCGTGGGAGAGTCGGGACGTGCGCGAACACGCCCGTTCTCCGACTCAGCAGCGGCGCCAAAGTAGTCGCTCTGCATGATGGTGGTCGTCGTCGGAGGCGTGCCGAAGCAGGTGGGAAAAGACGTCGGCAGCGCCGCTAGCTGGAATGGTTGGATGTCGCTCGATTAGCAAAAGCTAGACGAAATTGAGATGGCCGGTGCGGTTGGTTTCTCTGCGTCGTCGGATGCCAGTCGACCAGCGCGGGTCGATGGAAGGAAAAGTGAGCACGTCTGCGTGCGGGTTGAGCTGGATAGATGAGCCGGATGACGGATGGCTGCGCTGCGGTTTGGCGCCGGATGGCGTCCACAAGGGGCGAGGGTGGGACGCGACGTCGACGATGTTGCGGACGATGTCGATGCCACCGAATGGATCCGATCGCGGACGAAACGAGCGGACGGGGGAGGGTGGGAGGGAGAGACAAGGCCGTCAGCGCGGTGAGTGGGGGCCGTGCAAGGAGCGATGTGGTGAGAAGGAATGGCAGTCGGCGCTCCGCGACGATGTGGGTGTGTGTGGAGGTGACAATGGCGCCGAGGTTTGGCCCTCTCTGCCTCCTCCCTCTTTCTCCACCCTGGCTCGAGGCAGTCAGCCGCTGGGCGAGTCGCGCGGCAGAGCAGCAGGTAGCAGGTAGCAGGCAGCAGGCAGCAGGCAGCAAACAGCAGCAGGCACCGATGGAGCCACCCAGGCCAGGGCGACCAGCAGCGAGGCAGAGAGAGGCGGACGGGCAGTCTCAGACCGCCGAGCCAGAGACGCGTGCCAAAGGTGGAGGCATCGGAACAGTCAAAAAAAAATGCGCGAAAATTGATTGGACTCGCCAGACGCAGCGTGGGTTGGCCTTGCCTGCCCTTCAGTTTGCTCGCCTCTGCTGAGTGGCCCTTTTTTGCAATCCCCTCCCCCGTTTTCTTGCCTCTGCCTGTCTGCGCGCCGCTTCATCGTTTCGTCGACATCGGCTTGGCCGTTGCCCTCGTCAAAATGTCGCTTTGGCTAAACCGCACTTCTGCCTGGCTCCAGACTTTCTGCTGCCTCCATCGAACGGCAGAGCGAGTAGTCTAGTGAGGGTGAATGTGGTCACTGCGGCTCGAATCGCTCTGCCCGCCATCAGCGAGAGGGCTCACTCAAAGCAACAGTCACACGCACACTCAGCCATGCCGAGGAGCGGGCGACGAGGCGAGGAAGGG